CCCAGTCTTCTTTCACTTTCCACCCAGTCCACATTCATTTGCAACCCAGTCTGCTTTCACTTGGAACCCAGTCTGCTTTCATTTGCCACCCAGTCTGCTTTCATTTGCCACTCAGTCTGCTTTGACTTGCCACCCAGTCTGCTTTCACTTGCCACCCAGTCTGCTTTCACTTGCCACCCAGTCTGCTTTCACTTGCCACCCAGTTTGCTTTCACTTGCTACCCGGTCTTCTTTCACTTGCCACCCGGTCTGCTTTCAATTGCCACCCGGTCTGCTTTCAATTGCCACCCAGTCTGCTTTCACTTGCCACCCAGTCTGCTTTCACTTGCCACCCAGTCTGCTTTCACTTGCCACCCAGTGAGTCTGCTTTCACTTGCCACCCAGTGAGTCTGCTTTCACTTCCACCCTGTGAGTCTGCTTTCACTTGCCACCCAGTCTGCTTTCACTTGCCACCCAGTCTGTTTTCACTTGCAACCCAGTCTGCTTTCACTTGCCACCCAGTGAGTCTGCTTTCACTTGCCACCCAGTGAGTCTGCTTTCACTTGCCACCCAGTGAGTCTGCTTTCACTTCCACCCTGTGAGTCTGCTTTCACTTGCCACCCAGTCTGCTTTCACTTGCCACCCAGTCTGTTTTCACTTGCAACCCAGTCTGCTTTCACTTGCCACCCAGTGAGTCTGCTTTCACTTGCCACCCAGTGAGTCTGCTTTCACTTGCCACCCAGTGAGTCTGCTTTCACTTGCCATCCAGTCTGCTTTCACTTGCCATCCATTCTGCCTTCACATGCCACTCAGTTTGCTTTCACATGCCACCCAGTCTGTTCTACATGTCACCAAATCTGCTTCCACATGCTACCCAGTCTGCTTCTACATGTCACCAAGTCTGCTTCCACATGCCTCCTAGCCTGCTTCCACATGTCACACAGCCAATTGACACATGTCACCCAGACTGCTTCCACATCCCTCCATACAGCAGTGTTTATCTTTGCAGTCGAATGTATACAGCAGTGTTTATCCTTGCAGTCTGAATGTATACAGCACTGTTTACCCTTGCAGTCTGAAAGTATACAGCAGTGTTTATCCTTGCAGTCTGAATGTATACAGCAGTGTTTATCCTTGCAGTCAGAATGCATACGGCAGTGTTTATCCTTGCAGTGTGAATATATACAGCAGTGTTTATCCTTGCAGTCTGAATGCATACAGCAGTGTTTATCCTTGCAGTCTGAATGTATACGGCAGTGCTTATCCTTGCAGTCAGAATGAATACAGCAGTGTTCATCTCTGCAGTCAAAATGTATACAGCAGTGTTTATCCTT